TACCTCACCTTTATTAAGATGAATGAGGGATGGATCCCGAAGGGACTGACACTGGGCGATACATTAGCTTAAAAAAGGCCTGATGAGATGAGCTGCCTTGGGCTAAAAATGGTCCACACGCTGCTGTATTTTAGCTCTCTGAATGCCGGTTGACTTGCGTGACTTATCCGCCACCAACTAGGGTTCAAGCCGCCATGTTTTGGGGCACTTTCTGCCTGTGAAACAAACATCAATGATAGATTGAATAGCAGTTAGTTATCTTCAAGCAGGTGTGTCAGCCCTACAGCGTGTACTCTGCCAGTACGCTGCCACCTCCTCTACTCCTCCTACTCCATCCTCTTCCATAACCTCCTCGGCTGAGTTCTCTTCTGCTGCTGCGTCTTGCTCCACATCAACGGATAGGGGACGTAACAGTGATTAACCTGATAACAATAGTACTAAACACACCACTCCTATCTGGTGGCACATTAGATTGCACGCGCAGTGCCCCAAATTTGTTGTGATCTGTGAGTAAGGCAAACGGTTGTCCATACAAGTAGGTTGCAGCTTTTTGAGGGCCCACACCACCGCCATGCACTCCTTTTCAATGGCAGTGAATCTACTTCGCTATGCAAAAGTTTACAGCTTAGATAAAAATCAATGACGTGTACACGTCCACTGATAGGAGACGCGGAAGGTATTAAACTGATAAAAATAGTACTAAACACACCACTCCTATCTGGTGTCACATTAGCTTGACCGCACAGTGCCCCAAATTTGCAGTAAGAGGACCAACCAAGCCTCTTCTTCCATCTCCCTGTTACAAAAATCAATGCCGTGTACACGTCCACTGATAGGAGACGCGGAAGGTATTAAACTGATAAAAATAGTACTAAACACACCACTCCTATCTGGTGGTTCATTAGATTGCACGCGCAGTGCCCCAAATTTGTTGTGATCTGTGAGTAAGGTAAACGGTTGTCCATACAAGTAGGTTGCAGCTTTTTGAGGGCCCACACCACCGCCCTGCACTCCTTTTCAATGGCAGTGAATCTACTTCGCTATGCAAAAGTTTACGGCTCAGATAAAAATCAATGCCGTGTACACGTCCACTGATAGGAGACGCGAAAGGTATTAAACTGATAAAAATAGTACTAAACACACCACCTCTATCTGGTGTCACATTAGCTTGACCGCGCAGTGCCCCAAATTTGCAGTAAGAGGACCGACCAAGCCTCTTCTTCCATCTCCCTGTTACAAAAATCAATGCCGTGTACACGACCACTGATAGGAGACGTGGAAGGTATTAAACTGATCAGAACAATACTAAACACACCACTCCTGTCTGGTGTCACATTAGCTTGACCGCGCAGTGCCCCAAATTTGCAGTAAGAGGACCGACCAAGCCTCTTCTTCCATCTCCCTGTTACAAAAATCAATGCCGTGTACACGTCCACTGATAGGAGAAGCGGAAGGTATTAAACTGAACAGTCTCTATTCTGCTCTTGCATTTCTATTTCTTCATAGAAAACGAAAAAATTCTGAGAAGACGTTGGCAGGGCTATTCACTTGTGTGATCTGTCATGAATTGTCATTTGAATGTTATTTTGAACTGTGGGCACAAGAACTTGAATCTGACAAAATGGCTGCCATATACACGTCCACTGATAGGAGACGCGGAAGGTATTAAACTGATCAGAACAATACTAAACACACCACTCCTTTTTTGGTGAGGCTTTACAGGACAGAGTGCTTCTCCACGGGACATGTTAACTCACGGGCAGCTGGCTCATCAAGGAACCACAGCAGCTTTCCATGTACAGGTAAGACACGTGCAGCCGGTAAGGGTTCAGGCTCTTCTTCCTGGAGGATAAGCTGCAAGCCTGTTGAACGAGGTGACCTTGCTCGGGTCCCAGGTGTACGGTTCCTAAAATGGCTGCCATATACACGTCCACTGATAGGAGACGCGGAAGGTATTAAACTGATCAGAACAATACTAAACACACCACTCCTTTTTTTTGGTGAGGCTTTACAGGACAGAGTGCTTCTCCACGGACATGTTAACTCACGGGCAGCTGGCTCATCAAGGAACCACAGCAGCTTTCCATGTACAGGTAAGACACGTGCAGCCGGTAAGGGTTCAGGCTCTTCTTCCTGGAGGATACGCTGCAAGCCTGGTGAACGAGGTGACCATGCTCGGGTCCCAGGTGTACGGTTCCTAAAATGGCTGCCATATACACGTCCACTGATAGGAGACGCGGAAGGTATTAAACTGATCAGAACAATACTAAACACACCACAAATAGGTTTCTCTCCTGTATGGCTCCTCAAATGATGCTTAAGATTAGAAGCGGCTGAAAAGCATTTCTCACACTCCGAACAAAAATATATTTTTTTAACATTCTCTCCACTTTGAACGAAATGACGTTTGGGAAGAGATTAACATAATTAAACACAGACAGTAAAAATACAGTTTTTA